TTGCTACCTGGTAGCACTTCTTGATTGAGGTTACTTACCACCCCAGCCTCCTGAATTCTGCCAATTTTCACATTGCAGAATGAAGCATAATTATGTAACAGCAATGCACCAATATAGGTTTTGGCAAATGATCTACATATTATAGAATCTTTCTAGTCAGTATGATTGGATAGTTTTCTTGTTTGCCCAAAGTTCATCAAAGTCTATATATTATAGAATCTATCTAGTCAGTCATCAAGCTTACAAACTCTTATATTGTCTGTATAACTTTACAATCATTTGAAGTTAGCCGATTTCAGCAAATACAATCTTGCAGTCTTCCTAGTCATTATCCACAAGAATTTCCAGCATTTCAGTCAGTTTAGATCTGCCATCCTTGGACAGTAATGAGGATAAATATTCAACAGCCTCAGTACCCTGGCTATCTTGATATTTGTTAGAATATGGCTGTATATCTATCTTTTTCTTTATTTGTTAATCCAATTTTAGGTGGGAATCTTGAGTACAAGGCACTTGCATGTTTATTTCTTTGTTGGCTATTTTTCTTTGCCTTTTTGTTTTCATGCTTTTGAGGAAGTGAAAACGTCAACTTCATGTATGAATACACCATGTGAAGCAGGATCCGTTGTGAATAATTTGTAAATGGTTTTGTGTGCTCTTTCAAGTGAAATCAAAGTTTTGTGAGTGAATTCGAATGTCTTTTTTATATTGCTCATAAACTAAATGCATTAATTCTAGCTACTAGTCTCGTGAATATTCCATGTCCCTTCTTTTAAAATAAGAACAAACTCGTAAGAAATTCTAAGTGTCATTTTAACTCTAGAATTTTTTTAGATCCCGCCACCAAATCCTGGCATATTATATGTAAACAACTATGGATTTCAGATTTCACGACAAAGACAACTAATCAAAAAATTAAAGAACCTCAGAATTGAACCAAAGGCTTAAGATAGAACCCCCAGAGCTTTTAGAAGAATGTATGCTAGAGTGCAAAAGATTATCAATCTCTACCATGTCGTTTCATGTTTGATAACTTTTGGCGAGTAGTATAGACTTGATTGTTAAATTATTGCAAATTTATTTCAATACTTTTGTAACTTTGTTTTAACGTTATATTATTTTACGAAAATTCTATGGTCCCCTTTGGGTACCATTCCTCTACTTGTATTTCTCACTAAAGATAATAATTTAAATAATAAATATTTAATCTAAGGATCAATAACACTTTTTTCACCGTCCAACGGTGAAATTCACTTCTGAGCATGATACTCAAAAGGTTTCCTTTATTTTATTGTGCATTTTGTGGCTTTAGTCCTTGTTTTATAAATAAATTGGAATTAAATTTACATGATATTTATGAGAGCGAATTGCGCGAAATGTCACTAAACTATTTCAAAGTGCCGGTTCTGGTCACTAAACTTTTTTATTAGCGCGAAATGTCACTGAACTAGTAAATCTATACCGTTTTGATCACTCCGTGTATTTGTGCCGTTAGGAGAGACGGAAAATCACTTTTTAAGGGGTAATTTCGTCTACACAATAGTTAAAAAATTTATGCCCTCATTCTTCTTCACCCACAACCATCCATCACCTACATTGCCACCCACCGCCATCACCTCCACTTCCACTCTCCTTCCTTTCCCTTTTTCTTTCTTCTTCCTCCTCCTCCCTCTTTCACCATTTGTAACAAAGAACACCCTTTATCATTACTTACCTTTCCTTACATTATTTATCATTATTTACCCTTTATCGGTCAAGAGCACGAAACTAACCTTTCATTGGATGATCGATGGACAGTATATGCACAGGACTCACGAAACTAACCCACAAGAAAAACGGCAGCAAAGCAGAAATTCAACTAGACAGGATTATTGCTCTGATGCAGAAAGGTCAAGAGCCAGGACTGAAAAAACGAGGGCGCAAATTACTAACCTCAGTTCTGATTGTCCGCCTATTCAGGAAAGGACCAAGAGGGAAAGGAAACCCAGTGATATTGAAGTAGAACCTTCCGCCACTGCTACCACTCGTGCTGCTGATGGCTTTTCCGGAAGCAACTACCAAATTGACATTCTTGATTACTTTGGGTTTTAATTGAAAAGATAAGCCATTTAAAGGTGACCCACCAAGGAAAGCAGTAGTGTTTGATTCTCCTGAAGATGAATGATTTGGCAATAAAGTGGACTTCGGCGAGGTCAAATTGATGCCTGCCACCATTTTCAAATAAAATTTCCTCCCACGCTCCCACTCCCCAAATTAGTGCCAAATTAGCGTCAGTTCAGGTGAGGCAACGCAAGAGTTGCAAATCTAAATTGTGGCCGGATACAGAGTAAGGAAGGAAAAAGCTTCGGATAACAAACTTGAAAGAGGGCCAGAGGTTTTTCAGCTAAGAAGAAATGGGAAAAACGAACGAAGTAAAAACAAGAAAGCAGAGGAGGAGCTGCGGAGGAATTGGAAAACAGAGGAGGAAGAAAAGAGGTCTAGACGAAGGACGAGAGAAAGAGGGGAAAGAGCATCGGCGCATCTCTTTTGCCGCTGCTGTTCGTTTTTGCGCTCACCGCCACTGAAGCCGCCGCCGCTCGAAGGAAGCCGCCATCACCTCCCCAGAATCCTCCATCACCGTCGTCTGCAAATCTTCAATCGAACAGATGTGGTAAGTCCTCTTTCCCCTTCAACCGAACAAATTCTGTTTTCTCCTCAAGCTTAGACCTATAAGAATCTCAAAACCGAGATTAGCTTATTGTGATTTGTATGTTGATTGTACGCAATTTTGTGTATACATGCTTTCTGTGTTGTTTGGGATTGAATGTCTTTATGTTTCTTACCAATTCTTGGGCTGATTAACTTCAAATTGAACAAAAGAATCGGTGAAATTTCTTATGCTCATTTGGTGTTCGACGAAATGCCTAGCTAAAAGTTCTTATTGAAAGATGCTTTATTTGCAATTTTTTTTCTTTCCTCGTGGAAAAAATCGGTTAAGTTGGTCAATTCGCTTCCTCACGTTTGAGAAATTTTGATGCATTGCTGTCTTCCGTTTTTCCGTCTCTCATGATTATGTAAAAGCTTCAAGGAAAAGGCTGTGCAGACAAATTTGCCCCTCAAAAAGTTGATTTCCATCTCTCCTAACGGCACAAATACACGGAGTGACCAAAACGATATAGATTTACTAGTTCAGTGACATTTCGCGCTAATAAAAAAGTTTAGTGACCAGAACCGGCACTTTGAAATAGTTTAGTGACATTTCGCGCAATTCGCTCTATTTATGATAGCTGTCTAAATTTTTGAGTCGAGATCCTCTGTCTAATATTTTGTGTCCACTTTCGTGTCCAGTGCAAATCTACGTAGTTCCACTTATTATATACTCCCTCCCTTTTTTATAACTGACGTTTAAGAAATTTGCTCTTAAGTACTTTTATCTGTCGTTTTATTATCCCCATGCAGCATTAATTATTTTTTCACAATTTTACCCTTTTATCTCTCTTTTCCAATACAGGGTTCTTAATTACTACTTTTAGTTAATTTGCATTGCTTTTGGCCTAGTAAAACAGCACCATTTAGTACTCTAGTGAGAGAAAATATGGATGAATTGGACAATTAATGAGGGTACAAAAGGAAAGTAGTGTATAGATTTAAACAATGAAAATCTTTTCTTAATTGATGTGCAAAACCTTAAACGTCAGTTATAAAAAAAGGGAGGGAGTATGCTGATGTGACACATAAAAAAGAAAAGTTGTTTGGCTGCCTTATGCTACTTCTTTTCTTTTGGATTTCCTTTGTTTACACAACTTTGTTACAATTCCCAAAACCCTATTGCTATCGTATGTTTTAACCCAAAACTTGTTACCACTGTTTTTTGTCTAGAAGACAAAGGAAGTTCTTCAACAAAACAATTTTTTGGGAACCTTATTATTAAGCCAAACAATTTTTTTCCCTTTGTTTTAGCATAAGGCAGCCAAACAACTTTTTTTTTTATGTGTCACATCAACAGATATAACAAGTGAAACTACATAATTTTGCACTGGACAAAAAAGTGAACACAAAATATTAGACAGAGGATCCAGCTCCTAAATTTTTAGACTTTGAATGCACATGTTTTAAGAGATGAGTTGGTTAGATTTCGGTTTAAACACATATAAAACAATTTATATTTTTGAAATTGATATCGACATAAAGGAATTTAAGACCAAAAAAAATTGGTTCGGGAAACACGAAAACAAGAATATGATCATATAGCACTTCTTTCATAATTCAGGCCAAAGAATGACGATATATTAAAGAGTTCTACAAGTAATGTTTGATAACTTATATATTCTATTCTCGTGTTTGATGTAGATCTTTTGAGTTGGAAAGTCGTTTCCCTCGTAAACCTCATTCTAACTTTTTCCTAAAACCTTCATTCCTCACAAAATTCTAAAAAAAAGTTCCGAATAGCCCAAAATCATTGAGGTTAAGTTTATCCTCATACATCTCTTTACACTATTACCAAATATTAGGCAACAATACTTACCTAGTCCAATACTACTTGATAATGATATGATGGGTAGACAACTTTGCTTTCTAACAAAATTCAGAAGTTGGTCAATTAAGCGAGCATATATAGCTTTTGAAAGAAAAATGTGATCATGAGAACATTTTACTATGTTTTGAGGAATTTGAAGGCATATTTCGGAAAGTTACTAAGGTCATTTATAGTTATTCAAATGTGGACTTATCCAACGCGGTAGTAAAACGTCAACCAACTCAAGTCTAGTACCAGTGTCTTTTGAGGGTGCCGCTCGATGCCTGCAGATGGTAAACAAATCCAGATTAAGAGCAGACTTTTTTTCTCGGGAGAAGAATTTGACTGCCCTCCCAACAGAAAATGTTTTAAAACTGCGTCATTACAACTAAGTATGCAAATTAATCTTAAACAATTCTTTGTAATCATGCATTAAGAGAAACACAGTTCAAACAGCATTAACATGTATTATTCTCATATCAACCATTTGAGGATTAATCTTTCCCGGCCGTCATCCAAATATTATACTCGTTTGTGCTATACTTTACTACATCACATATCCCAGCGTCAAACCAAGTGAGTCTAAGCAGAGGACAGCAATCTCCTCTTCTACATGGTCAAGTATTAGCATACAGTTTAAGCATCAATTCAATAATCATCAACAAGGAGACAAATGCAACGATAATGCTGTCTTCCAATCTTTCAATACCATTATCTGGAGCACTTGATCAGTAATTGCAAGTGACCAAAGCACCAGAAGTGAAGAATGCGACTAACCTGTTGGACCTATTAGATACAAAATTCATGATCTTTATTTACTGGAATTCAGAGTAAAAAGTGAAACTGGAACAAAGGCAGCAAGCAGTCAACTCTATCAACTTGATTTCAACGGTGCCAAGGCCGATCAAAAGATGTTCTCAATGGTTATGTCTTTCTAACTTGATGCGTATGCTAATACTGCCTAAAAGTACTTCTATCTGCATTTACACTGGTTTATTGCTTTTTTCCTTGGTAACACATTCAAAGTTCGACACTATCAGTATGCAGATCCTCATGTCTCTATAGCCAAACCCTGGAAATGCAGATCCAATGTCCCCAAACAACCTGGCATAGAATGATGAGACCAGCATCCTAATGATCAAAAATGAAATGAAACTGATACTAAGGGTACCTGTTTATGCCACCTAGCCGCAGCATACAGGTTGAACTTTCGTCACTTTCCAGCTAAAAGATACGCAAAAAATGAACTCATGTGCAGAAGTAAATGTTCAATAACTAAATTTTACCTCAAAAGCACTGTATCTTTTCAGTGACAAGAAGCATCAAGTTCAAATGTTCTGAATTGGCACGTGAAAAAATTTTAGAACTTCAGAGTAGATGTTTAATGTGCCTTAGAAAATGACTGAAGCAAAAGTGGGACATGATCAGTGTCACCACGTGCATTAATAAAATCAAATACCAAGCCTCATGATGTATCTAGATTCTGCTGTCTAAAAACCTATTTGAAACATTCTTCGCTTCTAGATTAAAACCCCAAAACAGAAGATAAGAGTTATTCACGAGTATCAGAAAACAACAAAACAAATTTGCAGAACTTTCATTCTCTGTAGATTCATCAGTTCCACAAGTCAGAATACGCCATTCAATTTTGATACTAACTGCACCTGGTAGAAAGAGGAAAATGACAAGAAGAAACAGTCCCAAATTAACATTCTTCTGTATGTTGATACCAAAACTATTATGTTGCAGCCATAGACCTCAAACAGTTTTAAGTTCTTAATTGTAATTTTGCAGCTCAAAAGATGCTAATGTTAGCAACAAGCTATTAATTTAATCCAATTAATGTGTTCCTATCTGTGGATAAAATGACGCCAGAATTTACCTTCAAGATTGACCGGGAACATTCTGAAGTAGACATCTAGCATTGTGCAAAACAGCATTAGTCTCCTCATTTGAGGCATCAAGCAACTGTAGTTCCTGAATCTCCTCCTCCCACTTAGCCATCTGTTCCTTGTGGATTCTGTAGACAAACATGCTTCAAGAAAAAAAATTTTGCTACAACCTGATCTTGAAAGCCTAACACCTATTTTTTAAATGACTCACAGAAATAATCTTTTTTCAAATTCTTTACTAAGATCCTCCAGCATTGACTTCCCTGATTCCAGCAGCTCAGACACCTTCATCAAGTAAAAACGAAATTCAGCACAGAATTTATATTCAAACAAACTGAAACCAAGGCCAGCATAATCACTTGCAATCAAGGAAGGTTTATCTTTCAAACTTTCACTTCTAGAATTACATAATGCCTAAGCGAATAGGACTGTTTTCCTTTATATATTTTTCTGGCTCTTTTGAATTTTGGACTCCCCGCATTTTACTTTGCTCCTCAACTGATTTTTTTTTTTCATGAAAAGACAGGGTAGAGCAAAGCTACCAGCTGAGTAAAGCGATTAATCTTCTCATGAATGTGAGCAATCTCCACCAGCATTTGCTCAGAGCCAACAATGGTGTTGCCCTCACCCTCAGTGTCTTCCCCTGAAGCCCTCACAATTGCATTACTATCATCCGCAGCCACGCTATCCATCTGTTTGATTTAGTTACAGAAACAAAGTTATCGTTTAACTATAACGTTATCAGCATTTTACAGATCAGAATGCCAAAGGTACAGAATCATACTGAAGGTTTCATGCGCTTCACCGTCTCACTGTACTCTCCAGTTTCCATTTCACCTTGTAGTTGCAAATACTGCAGAAATTTATTAACCACTGAGAACCAATCCTTATATCACGATCACTCGATCAAATCAGGCACAAATAAATTCCTCCGCTATTTTCCAATCTTACCAGTTTTTTTCTCGTAATGTAGCAGAAGATGAATATCAACCAGGAAAACTGAACAGAAAAGGAATGGAACAAACATATAAAGCAAACACATGGCCAGAAAAAAATTTTCAGAAAATTTCGCTCGCGATCACAACATCGATACTCTAGTATCAAAATATAGCGGATCAGGCATTACTACGTCAAATTCTTTGTCAAATTTCAGCGATTCTCAATAATATTGACAAGCGAGAATGTATAAAATTCATCAAAACAAAAAAAAAAACTAAATTTATTGGGGAAAAAGGGAGGCAGATTGCTATCAGTTTATAATTAACGAAGAAAAGTCTAATTAATCAATGAAATGAGGTCGGATTAATCGAAGCAAATTAGCCCTGTCTGCTCATACATGCAGAAACAACGATTACGCTACCGAAATTCGAAAATGGAGAATCAACGTACCTTCAAAGATAGAGCTGCAGCAGAAATTTCGAAGTTCGATTGTTCGAATCTGGATTCAGTTTAAATCTGTACGGAAAACGGAGAAGAAAACAGAACCTTCCGGAATAGTAAAATTTGCAACTGAGAAACGAATGGATTTTGCAGCAGAGATTTTAAAAGGAAAATGAATTTTAAGGGCGGGAACTGAGAAAGGTAGCTGGGAGTTTCTTTGTGAAATTACCATCTACTCCTCTGCAGTTTAGACCCTTTTTTTTGGGTAGAAACAATTTTCTTTTCTTGGAAAGTGTTGAAATGTATTTTTTTTTTTTATCGCAATTTTCAAGCTACACATAGAAATTTTGTTTATGTAAGCAGTATCTTATCCTTTTTCAATGTTGTTGGTGCGTTTAATAAAATTGAAGTTTGAAAATTAAAGTTTGAAATCTGAAATATGAATCCATTAAATTATTGAATTATTAAGTTGAATTATCAAAATGTACTAAGTGAATAGATTATCACTTACTTTTGGAAACAAATTTTACCTAGAAAATTCAGTGTCATTTAATTAATTCATATGTCAAATTTTTAATTATCAAACACATCTAAACATATTAAAATCTGAATCCATTAAGTTTAAGTGGTGAATGAATTTTTCATTTTTTTCAATTTTTTTAAGAATTAGATAGTTATACAATTCAATCTAATCAAGTAAACTACTGGGAGATGTATACCCTGTGGATGTGCAACTTTTTTTTTTCCACAATAAAAGGGTAAGATTTTATTTTTTTTTGTAACATCAAAGGTAGAAGCTATTAGAAATTTGATTTGCACAAAAAAAAAAGTGGAAGTTATTGGAAGTTAAAATAAAAGAAGTTATAGAATGTTGTTAAAATTGAATAAGTATTATTAGTTTCTTTGCAGTGGTTATATGTATAAATTTCTTACTTATTTGAAGGTAAAACTACAATAACAAATAAAATGACATGAGATCTCAGTTACATGGCAACTTCAAAACAATATGACGTTATTTGCTCATAAAGTTTTAATTGTCAGTCCTACATTATTTTGACCTTGTTTCAAAGAGGAGAAAGTATTAGAGTGATCAAGTAGTATCAAGAATGATAATAGCACAAAAGATTTATCTTTTGCTGTCTTTCTTTCTTTTTCTCTATTAGAAAAATTCAACTACGAACAAGAAAAGTCTACAAGTTTCACCTCGTTTTGTCTTTTCAATCTTCTGACTTGAAAGGAAGACAAATTGCATTCTAGAGAACAGGCTCATAAGTGTCCCTTGAGCAGGTAACAGTTTACAATGCATCTTAGCTCTTTGATATAGAAACTATCCAAAATTTCTATGTACGCTGAGCTAAGTGAACTTGCAAAAAACTGCCATTTGGGACTAGCTAAGTGAACTTGGCATGTTCCATGACACAAGGACTGAGTATAACAAATCTGGAGAATGCTTTTCCTAGTAAATATTGATAAGGTGCATTTGCTCAAAAAGGGTTCAAGATGAAGATAAATCTTCAACAATGTTTAAGGTTGATTGGGGGGCACGAGACTAAAGAAAGTGTTACATCTTGGCTGTTTCAGAAATGATACGCTCAATTTCTTCAAGAAGCCGCTCTTTTTCTTTTGCCAAATCCTCATTCTGCTTCTGAAGCTCTTCTATCTGCTTGGTTTGCTCAGAGTCCTTCCTGAAAATTACCAGATTACTTTGTTAAATCTTGAGAATTTGGTTTCTGGACTATCTCGAAAAGATAAGTTGATCTGATATCAGGACTGCAAGAACAAATGAAATGGAAACAACGCAACTAAGCACAAGTTTGAGCAGATTGTGTTTAGAACTGATAGACTGCTGTACATGCTGTTCTAAAACAATCCTACATTCCTAGAGCTGCAGCAAACTTGTGGTTTGTGAGATAGACTGCTTGAAATACATCAGACACCAGATAGTCCAAAGTGGTACTACGCACGAGAGCAGCCTTCCTGACAGAAGATATATTTAGCTGAGGCCTATTAGGGATCAGTGGACTGTTAGATGCAGAACTGTTATGAGAACACCTGTTTGCTCTAGCAAACATACACCAAAAAGGTAAAGAGAAGACTTCCAGTCGAACAATATTTTGCTCATGCTGTGCTTTATCTTTTGCAACCAATAATCCTCATTCTTCTTGATATTATATGTGACTTTAGATAAATGATGTGCACAAATTGTGAGTTTTCAAAGGCAGACAAGAAGATTCTGCCTCTAGCAAAGTTGAGGCTGGGGTTTAATCTACTTCCATATCCCTATGTCCCCAAAAAAAAGGATGATAATAATAATAATAATAATAAAAGGGTAAGCACGTAGGGTGATATAATCAAGAATAGTGGAAAGTTTCTTTATAATCAGTAAACAACCTGCAATCCGGCAAGTCTAGTTTAACATATCAAGGACAAGGAGATGACAATTACCTGTTCATGAAAGACAAGTTGAGTTTCAGTGAGCGCACTTCCTTCTCAAGGTTTTCACATCTCTTCAAAATGGATTGCATATCAGAAGGAACTGCAGGTGTCAAATTTCTTTCCTTCGCTTCTGCCATTCTACATCACGCATAGGAGATTTCTTAGAAAGAAGTTTATCTATCTATTAAACTGCCTTGACAGCAGATAAGAACATGCTGGAGAACATCAAAGGCAGATACATACTTTCGAGACCTCTCCACCCTGCGCTTCTTAGTGGGATCTCCTTGTTCCACTGTAAAACACATTCTGATCAGAAGTGCTGAAATCATTGCACACTTTTTACAGCACACAATTAGACATTCAATCATTTTTCATTTATAAAAGAGCTAGTGTTTGTACAGAAATTAGAACTTGTAGCAACATCAAATGATGGAGTTTGAATGAAGATCCTTTTTGGCCAATCAAAGTCGGGCCCACCCATAGAAGTCAAAAACCACAAAAAAAAAAAAAGGAAAAGCAAAGATGAAAACAGTCAATTAACAACAGGAAGCATATTTCATCCTACTAGTTGAACTGAATATTCCCCAAGTTCATATCACTTCCTTAGCTTAATTTGCAAGATCACTTCATTATTACATCATTATTCTGAAAGGCGTTTATACAAGGAAGGACGAAGTTGAGGAACATCAGTAGAACATCTAGGCACACCTTTCTCACAACAGCAAACTGCAACAAAATTTCCACCAATAATCCTTAACCTCCAAATAGAAAACCAAGATCACAGAAAGACTGATCAATGGAGGACGAGCAGGGAAAAGAAAACACGAAATGCACTTGTTTCTGTTTCATTTCAAGCTTTGGCATATCCAGCACAGCAAGACTTCTCTTCTACTTAAAAGAACAATGGTATAATCCTATTATAAGCACCCAGCTTTCTTAATCATATGGCTGTCAAAAATTAGGAGGGTCTTGCAAGAATTCAATCACTGAAACACCATTGCCACCATACGGTCTCTGCCTTTTGACATAATATCCCACTATAGGATGTGTTGGCAAGAGTCCCTCTACCCTACCATATGCCTCTTAAATTCACTAGTATGGACCTGAATTGGGTACATGAGAGCATCTATGCAGTGAACCAAAGCACATTCAAAAACTGGCTCTAAAGAATTATGCTTTAATGCCCTTTATCACTGATTCATGCACTTTAATCTATTGCCAATTAAATGAGCTAGAATTTAGATTGATGCTTATTTGTAGAAAATATGAATAAGGTTCTATTGTGTTCTGCTGAAAAAACCAACTAACCACTACCTTCCAATGGCCATTATAACCCTCACCTCAGCAACATGCATATGATAAAATCCCTTTCTCTTTTTCCAAGTGATCATAGACAACTTAACAAGGCACCTAAATGCCAAGGATGCTTCATAAGTACAAGATAAGCTCAATTACCTGAACCAGCTGATGTTACAGATCCATATCGAACTAAGCCTTCTTTCTGGTAATAATGCACACACAAATTACAGTATTTGATTAGAAAGTTGTACCTTACCTAGTTTACTTTTGAAAGTTCACTGAATTACATAGTTTTAAAATACCTTTTTATCATCTTTCAAGTTATTGTACATACGCTCTCTGACATCTGTCAACCAAGAGCACAATGAATACATTAATCATTTTTTTCTTAGCTTTAGGGAAATTATGAGTTTTGTCATGATGAAATTGAAATCTAATCTTAGTGAAATGGAACACTCAATAACAAAACTATAAGAACAGCATCTGACGAAAACCTTTGCATAAGCTCATCATAACAAGAAATGCAGAGTCACTTTTACATAGCTGACAAATGATAAACCATTCAAGAGCTTCACATTTAGTTGCTTAACTGAATCATGCCAATTAAACTGTGACTTTAGTTGGAAATAGTTCTGTCATACCTTTAATTCTAGAACCATATTCTGAACTCCTTGCATAATCCACATGCTTCCTAGAGCTCTCACAGACAGTAGGAGCTTGACCTGAGGTACTAGGTCCATCACATACTTCAAAACCGGTTGAAACTACAGGTGCAGCAGCAGAGGATTCACTTTGGGAAGGTTCTCGAGATACTGTACTCATCTGAATAACATTTGTGTGAGGAATCATGCCTTCGAGGCCAAAACCAAAAGACCCTTCAACTGTTTGCATAATTCCAGCCTCTGTAATTTGAACTACAGATAAGTCATGGAAAGTTCCTTGCATCTCATGTGCCTGATTTCTTTCTTGATTCAGGACTGTGTTACCTAAGACTTCTTCAGAACCATAACATCCAAAAGAACTGTCATCAACAGCTTCTTTCTCAACCGAGTTACCAAGTTTCTTACGCTCCAGTGTACCCTTGAGCATGGTCACAACAGAAGAAATGTTGTCTACATTCCCCCCTTGTGGAGTGTTGAAATTAGAGGAAGATGAGTTGGATGGAGACATAAATGTATTCACTTGATTCGGCATCTCACCCATTGACACGTTGTTGAATCCATTTGGATTTGTATAGTATTGTTTGAAGTTGTTAATGCCATTCTCTGATATATTAGACATGGTCTCCATAGCAACTGATGTCTGTGAAGTTTGCAGGGCAGCATACCTCTTCCTACTCCAAAAGAGAAAACGACAAGTTTTACTCAATATGATCTAAAATATAATTCTAGGTACACTATCTTGAACATTATTAGTTCATAACTCTAGAAAACAACAATCTCTGCAGAAATAATACAAGTCATCCATGCATGCTTGTTTAATAACTTGCAGGAACACAACATTAAACTTATTGACTCCCAATGTCCTGTAATGAGTTAAGACGTGGCAAGTTACAGTAAAGCACCAGAAGCAACAGCCATCTAGTTCTCCTGTTTGCTTGGAAATTATTAACTATGAATCTGGTTAGAGTGGGGATTGATACCAGTTATAGTGCGGCTTTCCAACTAGGCTGTGGTACTTCATCCCCTCAGAAAACTAAACAGAATGTACTTAAACTAATGATGAAGCATAAACATGTTACCTCAATTCTGAGGAACGACTTCTCGTCATAGGTTGGCAACTATGAAACCAAGCCTGCATGTGATGTGTAACGCATAAGATTGTTTCAGAAATTATAATTGGATTTTGTGCTTCTGCAGTTTATTCATAGACTCAAACCTTAGCCAGAAACAAATCGCTCGCTTGCACTTCTTTTTCAACTGCATTCCTGAAAAAGTTTATGCAGAAGTCAGACCCTGGACTACTGTACCAGCAGAGGAGATTTGACAAAATAAGAAGGCAAATATCTGAATAATCATTTTGGAACAGAAGGTTAAATGATTAAACACCTCGTTAGCCAGTGAAGAATTGTGAATGTTAATCAAGAAGGATGCCATCTCATATTGGATTGATGAAGAGGGCACGAAAAAGTTTTTATTTGAAAGTAGATGTATGCTAATGAAACTGACAGCAATGCAATAAAGTTCAATTCTTTCCAGGATTTAAAAATTTAAGCAGGAAAAGTGGAAGAGATCATACTTTTTTAAGTAATATGCATGTCAAAGGAAAAAATGAAGTTAAAGATGCTGTCAGATGAATCAAAGATATAACAGTACACATGACTACAGTACCTGACTGGATGTTGGTTGAGTTCATTCAAATTTTCGCCTGCATTGAAAGTATTCTGTGGGAACAAGATCTCATCGCTTCTTTTTTTTGGAAACACTCCTTCATGTTGGTTTGACAAATTGGATGCTTCAGCAGAGATCCTAAATTATTGCATAAGCATTTTGTATCCATGTAATTAAAATTATACAAGGGAAGATGAAAGCAAGTGTACAACTTTCAGGATACTTAATCGATGTTCCTATCATTTTATGAAAAAGCAAACTGCATTGGTATTCTGCTAAGCAGGATATAAGACATGCAAGTAGCAGTCCCAGCAATAAACCCCATTTATCCAGAAAAGCCAAAAAGTTCCAACAAATGCTCAAGTTCAAGCATTTTAAATGTCACATAATTGGTGTAAAAAAGTATTCTACATCGATTAATTCTATGGATCTTTAGATGACTGTACAGATGCTCACTTCTTACTAAAAACATGAATATCCAATTCCAAGGTGATGACATGTTTCCAAAGTAGAAAGACAAACAGCTAGTTGTTTATCTTCTAACTTTTCCCCGTTTCAAACACGAAAAGTCATTGCTGTGATTCATGAAACAAGTTATGCAGTTTTAGATGTTCATTTAAATGGATCCTACTATCTATCCTTCACTTATACGAATCAGCTAGAACTGGAAAAGCAGAATCAGACTCCACTACAACACCATAATAAGAGAAGTATTTGTGTCAATCTTCTTATATGAGTTTTAACAATTCGTTAGACTAACCTCCTTGATGCCTTTCGAGTACGATGTGCAATGCCAGCAGGACTGCAGCCATTGTTCTGCAAGAAAATGAATATCAATTAGGATAGAAACTCACAGAACCTGCAAAAGTTCAAAATAACATGCAACGCCTTGAAGCAAATAGGATAAACACAAATTTTGGTGCCATAGGGGTAAACATCTGAATCTTTCTCAAGAGACTTAAGTGAAGCAGAGTCATCAATTACAGCCTTTTTCTTGGTAAGTAGAATAGGGAATCAAAGAATAAATGTATATTTCAAACACATGCTTGTCAAACATAAGCTGAAATTTCAGTCTCTACATGTTCATCTGTTGGTTACAGTTATAAGATTTATTTAATGATCAAACGTAATAAAGAGCTACATCAACATACTGTGATTGAAAAAATTTGTCAAGTAGTCTCATGGTTTTAAATTAAATAGCTTCTGTTGCTTATCATGGTACTTATCTTTCCCAAACAAACCCTACATACCAGGTATTAGTATTCATTTTCAATTCTAAGATAATAATGCAACATCACAATGATGTCTTGACAAAGACAAGCCTGACGCTTATAGTTCCCTGGATAACATGTTACAGCTGAATCGCACAGCTAGTACAAGTTGGCAATTTTAGTTTGAGACTCAAGACCTTTCCTCTTTTTCCTTTAGAACTACTATAAGTCAAACATACCATTGAAGTACCATACCTCTAGCCAACTTGACCAAACTGTTATGATGGTAGTACTAAAGTTGGATTAAGACTAGAAATCATCATCCAAACACTTGATGCTTCTCCATGCCTTTTGCATATGCAGACACTCTACTCATAGTCGCATATAAAACGATGAGAGACCAAAATGTTCAGAGACTAAAAGTACTGGGAATAAAGGATACTTGAGCACGAGATTGAAGCAAACAACATTAAACCAATATATCTGTATCTTCATTCATATAAATACCCAAAAACTCTAAATCAAAATTGAGACCCTAACATATTTCAGAACTCTATCACGTATGATATGCAAAATTTGCAAAAAAGATTATGTAATTCTTGCCTCTCCATTTGTGAGCCAACTCTTAAAGAGTTCCTCGCTATCTGCTCTGAAGTTCTGAGATAGATTCTTAAAGCCCAACATCTCCATGGTTGGAATTGGCATCCCTAGTGAGCTCTCCATCATGGTTTTAATAAACAGTTCTTCACTTGTGTTTCTGTATAACTCTGAGTATGCTCTTCCCTCCATCTCCATCGACTATTTTCCTACTTCACTCCTTTATATATCCAGAGAATGAACCAAATTCTTTAGCTCCTAATCACTAAGGCCTGGTCTCATCTATCTATCAAGCTTTCACTATCTCCCTCTTTCACCTACCAGTAACTTAAATCTCCTTCTATGGGAAAGAAGTGGAAGAAAAAGCAAAGCAGAAAATCCTTTCTAGGGAAGTAACTCTCTATCAAAAATTTGTATAACTCCACCACTTCAATCAGTGATCAGAGAAACACCTTTATTATGATGTCAGTGAACAACAATCACAAGGCTCAATTGTCTAATTGACTAAAACTGAGTTTTGGAACACGGTATCCCGAGAGAATGATTCAAACTCAATTGCAAGAGAAATCAATTATGTAAATAAATTAACAAGAAAGAACCAAAATCATTTGCAAGTCTCAATTTGCAGTCTACTTTATAGGTCACAGTGAGGCCTGTTACCAAGCCTAAGGAATGCAAGAAGCTAAGAACTAAAAGCCTAACTACTCTAACATAATTGACATAAAAAGCTTCAAGACTAATACTTATGACTTGACAAGAATAGATCATCACCATTAAATTATATTAATGTCACTTTCAATTGGCTCCTCTTCTTCAGTTAAATTGACAGACTAATATATGTGAGAAAATCGGCAAATACATAATGGGCTCAGTAAACTGATAAAAAATCATAAAATGACTAGGCATCATTCTGATCAAGATTCCATTTACACATATTTGTCTTCTCCTTGTGTGAAAAGTAATAGGGATACCTTAATGCTGTAACAATCTTCACTTCTGCTTGTTAAACTCGGCGAAAATCTTCACTTTCAAATATCCATTCTACCCTGCTCAGAGCATCTGATCTAAGGTTCACCATTCACACTAAGTTGACCATTTTGCGGGCTATTCCTTTCCAAAATTCAAACTTCCGATTCCCATAGTTGTTTTTTTCCCTTATCAACTCTCACGAATCACTTAAAAAAAAAAAAAAAACTCTCATGAATCACTAAAAGTTAAATCTCAACTCCACCTTTTTTTTTTCTCCATATTTCAATTTCAACCCTTATTAGCCTGAGAAACAAATACTAAAATTTCTCCTTATTACATGTCCATTTTTTTTTTTTTCAAGATTGTCTATTAGGCACGAAGTTAAGTTATATACATCCAAAAGCAAGTACTCAAACATTTGTTCAACAATAATTCATTCAGAAAAATTTTCTGTACACGTACTATTTCTTTGTGGCTGATGTGGGCTTGGATCAAATTGGATTAAAACAAGAAAATCTGCAAATTATGAACTTAAACATTATTGAATAGAAGAAAATCACTAGATTTCAGATGCATCTGACCAGCTCTACCTCTGCATGCTCCGTTTAAACACAAGGAAGCCGTTAGAATGGCGTTTTCAATCGACAGTAACATCACGCAATCAACCGTCCTTCAGTACAAGATTAGTGACAGGAAAAGCTTTTGCAGTTAACGACCCCGTTTTTATAGTCCAGTTTCGATTTTACCCGTTTAGATTTTTTTTATCTGCACTTAACCCCTTTTTGGAGGTAATAGACAAATAAATCATTAAACTTATTATGTTACTTACGCAGCATAATATTTTGCCTTTTTGCATTTCTATTTTTCTTTCTTTTTCTTCCTTCTTTCCTTTTCTTTCCTTTTTAATGAACTCACACTATGTAAATTACCCCCTTAGCAACAAATAAATCAAAATTACGTCATTGGTTCTGACTTTCACCTTCCTTCTATGCTTGTTAGTAGTGATGGATGCAATAAATTAAAAAAAAAATAAAAAAAGAACCGATCGAGTGTCGCATGGAAACAAAAAAGAAGTGTAAAACTAGAATGGAAAATAGTTTGGATCAAGTGGAAAACTAGAATGGAAAATAGCAATCCAAACGCTTGATTGTGCTAGTGAAATATGAGTTACTTAATTAATAGTTATTGGATCTTAAGGAAACAAAAAAGAATTAAAACATGATGTTTATGAAGGAGAAATAGCAATATAATAAAAAGTGGGACAAAGAATGACACAGGGTGTGGGACAGAAGATCCGTTGCGCCAATAATGTTGGTTTGTCCATGAGAACCGCCCAACTTTGTTTTATCTCTAAATCACTAAGAAAACTAGAATGGAAAATAGTTTGGATTGGTCATTTTTTGAAAAATAAGTTTTTCAACTATAATGTTACAGTAATACACAAACAAAAATAATATCAAAAACATCAAAAATAATTTCAAAAATACCAAAAACACAAAAAAAAAAGCAACCTCAAAAACATTAAAAACAAATTCAAAAACACCAAAAAAAAAAAAAAAAAAAAACCTTAAAAAACACCAAAAATACAAAAAATAACCTCATCTACAGTAAAAAAGTTTTTCAACTACATTGCTACAGTAAAATATTTTAAAAATACCCCAAAAAATAGCTAATTCAAACAGAGCAGGAAGAAGATCTAATGATGTATGAGTTTCCAAATTTTAGCATGAAAAAGATCTAATGATGTATGAGTTTTTTGTATTCAAGGTATGGCCTGTTCATCTTTTCCACCAATTAGAAAGATAGAAAGAAAGGAAGGAACAAACAAGCAAGAATACAAATATGATAATATATATGTGCTATCAAGACCTTTTGGCCATAGTTCCTCAGTCCTATGCACCTAATCCACCACAAACATCATGCAGTAGATGTTAACATCATCCCACAAAGAATATATCAACGTGGAAAAGAAAAAGAAAAGAAAGGAGCCACGATGAAACTATATTTTTCTTTAAATTTTTCTACATCTCTTTTTTTTTAAGGTTATCTCTTTTCACTTATAGTAACACCCGTCTTTTTATCGATATAGCAAAAAATAATAATTTGATAAAAAAAAACACCAATACGCATATAGGATAACAATTTATGTTAAAATCCTAGTTCATGGTTTTCAGAATATTACCTAGAAAATACCAGTAGAATACCAAACTTTGTATATAACAAAAAATTATGATCTGATAGACATAATGATACATATAATAGGATACTAAGTGATGCTAAACTAGAGGATACTACAAGAACAGGAAAATTTAAGTTGCAAATGCCAAAATTTTAATAAGTTGTCCAAAATATCAATATTGTATCCAAAAGGTCAAATATCAATTGAAGCATACAACATATTGTTGGACAAAATGAACATGGCATAGTGCTATATATATATATATGTGTGTGTATATATATATATAAAATAAATGGAATCATTGTAGTCTTTTAACATAAGCACTGTGTTATTGACTCCATTCATATTCACCAAGTAGGCATCAAGTAAAATCACAACAGGCCTTGCATTAAGCCTTCAAGATACACTTGTTTACATACACACACCAAAAAAAAAAAAGCAGGCTCTGTGTTAGTAAAAAATCCAAATACTGTTGTCAAATTCCTTTTGACTTTGGCATACAATACTCGAGAAAAATTAGTTTTAGAGTAAAAAAAATTAAGAATAATATATGTTACTAGATTAAATATTATCCTCAACCGGCAAAAAGCAATTAAATTTTTGCTGATTTTGCACCTCACATATACTGACTGCCTTTCTGAATTGGGATGCCGGCTAAGTTTCAAGTATATTGGCCAAAAATAGTAGAACAATTCTCAACTGAAAGTGCAGAAGCTCCACTAGTATGAGTATGACAGCCAAAAATGCCTGCTTTCCACACATACTTTCATCATCAATGATGCAAGTTGGAATTGGACTCACCACAAGATTTGAAAGAAGAAGCTTAATCTGACTTAAAATATAATTTGTTTCTTTGTCTGTGTAAAAGAAACCAACAATTCTTGATGAAATTGTTTTAGTATTCGGATGATGACAGCTTCTAACATTTCTGTAGCAGGCGTGTTGACTGGGTAGCTACTACTCTCAGAAGAAATAAAAAGTTTCAATGATTGGTCAGTTTCAAGTATTCTAATTCACACTTGCTGAACTTGTATAATCTTCTTAGGATCGAAAAAAGAGGAGATTCAGTGAGGAAATATGAGGATTAAGAAAATAAGTCTGTAAAATTCAATGAACTTGCTTTCTTGCAGCTCTGAACTTCCCTATAAAATTCAATGAAAGGCAACTGAAATTAGCAGAAAAGGTGCTGAGTATCATTAAATTCAAGCTAGCAACACGAAAAGGTCAAACTTAATCAATTGGTAGCATCTTTCTGCAAAAATATGAAGGGGGCTGCTGCTGCTTTCATGTAAAATTGCAGTTCTATCCAGTACCTCTGATGGCTTCTAAAAAATTTTCTTTTAAGTTCATACACAAATAAATATCAGTGGCCACTAAGTTTCCGACTGCAATTTCTACAGAAACCCATAGGATTCTTGATTGAAGTAAATCCGGTCAGACATATCTGATATCACTTGCATTTTTTCAATATTTTCAAGGTAACAAAGTCCAGCACTTGCTAATAAAAAAAAAAAAAAAAGAAGAAGGCAAAAAGTGTTCGTTTAACTCTTTCCCAGATGACTGAGAAAGTCCAATGCTGTAATTGTCAGCATGATGAATCAAGAAGATAGAATTGAAAAGAATGCATATTTAAAGATTTCGACCATAGAAAAGGTTCAAATCAGAATCATGTACTGATCAGTTGAAAGGCACTGCCTAACAAATCAAAGAAACCAAAAGGTTATTGCTTACGACAACAAGAAATATAAAAGAAGAAAGAAGATTCCTCAGCCCAATGACAAAAAGTAATGCTTCTCTTGTTTTTTGTGGTGTAATTGTTTAATAAGGGGTCTGCTCTTGCACATCCAAAACAAACCCCCCCCCCCCCCCCCCAACAACAACAAAAAAAAAAAACAGGAGAGTGAATGTAAGCCCCTGTAGACGTTAAACAGGAGTAGGTCCATCCCACCATTTAAATTATCTCAGATGACCAGCAATCTCAGTCTAGCAAATAATTGAGAATCAAGAGGATAGAACAATGAAAGGCTCTCCTTGATTGTCAGATATAACAGAAACACAGATTACTCTGCGATTAAATGTATTTCCTCATTATTCAGAAATCATTTTTATTTGAGAACTGCTGAAGTTGATAAGGAAACTAGATGGAGACATGAAATCAGACTCGCAAAATCTCAGGAAGAAATTTGATGCAGACAATATTAATTTGATTGTACCAGGATGCGAAAGAAATGTTGTTCCGCGTCCCCTGCTAAATTGCATCAAATAATAATTACAGAGTAAAAAGAATATCAATAGCATAACTATGTACCTGCATATACTATCCATAAAGAAAATTCAAAAGATTGATACTGTATTTAAAAGTTACCTCATCTGTAATCCACAATGTTACAATCCGTACTTATGACTTCAAAAATGAAAGAGGGAAAGCTAAACAAAATGCAGGTTTTGTCCTTTTTTAAAAAGAAATGCAGGTGAAAAAAATGTATACACCAACATTGCCCAATGCAAATAACAACCCTAAGGGCAATATATAGGACTAGAAACTCCATTTAGGAACTACTAAAAGAGTCAAAGTTGATCTAGCTACAGCCATATTGCCATAAGCAAGTATATAGTGCAACATACTAATTGGTGTAAATTTATCAGATATGATGTAGCCAATGTCTGTGGCAAATTAACCAAAATTATCCAAAAGTAAACCTTTCTGTAATGCTGTACCATACTACAACCACAAAATCTGTACACGTGACGGGTATTCAGTACATATCATACATAGCAACATAAACATACATTTACAATTTACCATCACAAGTGACAAAAAAATAGACTTTTTACAACATTCCAGTAAGACGATAACTCCTGTTTAACTCCTGAAGTGGAACACATGTACTTCTTCCGAGAAGATTTTCAAGCTGAAATTCTTTGAGTGTCATGTTTATGACACTATCTGGCTCAATCCCATCACCAAGCATGCGGTTAGACAAGCATAGGGCTTCCACTAACCTACCAACTTTGCAGTAACCACGAATCAAAATCCCATATGCTACTACATCAGGCACTAAACCATTGCTAAGAGCAGAAGAAAAGGTTTTAGATGCTTCTTGCACAAGTCCTCTTCTACAAAGACCATCAATTAGGATGCTATAACTCAGAATATTTGGAGAGACATTGCTCCCAAGCATTTTTCCATATAACTTGAAAGCATCTTCCATGCGAAAAGATTTAAAAAGGCCATCTAGCAAAGAACTGTAAGTAACCACATTAGGTGCAGGACCTGTTTCCAGCATGGCAGAGAATAATGACATGGCATTATCCAATCTTCCTTCTTTACAAAATGCATGAATTAGAATAGTAAGGGTAATTGAGTTGAATCTAATTTGTCTGAGTTTCAGCTCTTCAAAAAGTTGAATGGCCTCATCCAACATTTTCATTGAGCAGTACCCATAAATTACAGTGTTATATGTTACAATGTCTGGTTCTGGCCCACAACAAGAAACCTGCCTGAAGAGCTCCAGTGCATTTCTCAACCTGCCTTCATTGAA